TTTACTATCGGAATAGAAAAAATTATTGTACAGAAATTAGTAAATTCCTCCTCTAAATGTGATCTGAAAGTGATCGAGATGTTGCTCAGTAATTGCTATTAATTGAAGTGGTTATTATGAAATGGTAATATGCATTGTGTAATTGCGGATTTAAATTTTAACCAGAATAACTATGATATAAAAAAAATGGCCTGCACCTCCATAATTTATTCATATAACTCTCTTGATTAGTTTATTCGAATTCCGACTAACGCTAACGCTAAAATTTTACATCAGATACATGGTACTAATAAAACTTTCAGAGTCTACGAACAGCAAAACTTACGAAATTGACACCTGCACTTTGTTGATATATGTATTGATACACGACTATTATGCTTTTAATAAAAATTTTTCAAGAATTAGAGTGAAGATATCACGATAATTACCTATTAAAATTTAATAATTTTTTTTTAAATTAATTATAAAAAATTTTTGCCGATTTTGATTAAGTTGTTGTGATATCTTCGCTCATAGTAAACAATTCAAACCGTCTATCAAAATATAAGCTGCGCCAAATTTTTTTAAAACTTTGAGCGAATATATCTTGACAACCACCCGATCAAATTTTGTTTGAATTCTATGGATCTGTAGAATTCAAATAAAAAAATTTATATCGAATTTGGTCAGGTGGTTGTTGTGATATCTTCGCTCAAAGTTTAAAAAAAAAAATTTTAATAGCTTCTTTATAACCAGTTGTTTGCTTCACTCGCTACGTATAGCAATCATCACATATCGGGACATAGTAAATCATATGATCCAAACTTGATTTTCAAGGCACAGACCCCATATGAACTAAGTATATACTAGTTTCTTTTTTACTTTATTTTGTTGAGTCTTTAGTTATTTCGTTTTTGTCCTTGTCCTTTTTATTTAGATCATCACTTTTAAAATATAAATTTTTAGTTTGTGGTTTATATTTTGTTTAATATTTTATGTATTAATAAAGATAATATCTTAAGATTAGAGTTATTAAAAGAATAGATATATATGTCTGAAACTTTATTTTATGTATTGGAATTTGTTTCTTAAAAAATCATGGATTGACACGATATAATTCTCTGCATTATTACATAATAGAACTAAACATAAAAATAGTATTATTTGGTTATTCGGTCGTGAATTAATGAAATAAAGCTATTTCTTTTTCTTCTTGAAATCTGGCATGAACCAATTTTACAACCTCCGGTGGATAATATATTTCAGGGTCATCGATATTTTCGTGCTTGTCTGCTTCCGATTTAGTCATCACGACACAATTCTGATATGTTAAGGGAAGAGTTTTTTTCCACCTAACAAGAGCTGGTTTCTCCCACGATCCTGACACCACGCTTTTGCTACGAAATATCTCATCATAAATATATCCAATATCGTGAACGTCTAAAGGTACCGAACTAAATAAATTAAAAAATTAAAATAAATAGTCATATAATAATATATAACGATTATGACAGTAAAATTTTGACTTTTTTTTTTTTTTGATTTACTTACTTTACGCCATATTTCCTTCTTTCTCTATTCAGTAAATCGCGATGCATTCGATTATATAATGGTTCGCGACTTTTATTAGCTAACGGTTCTATATGATGCCCGGAAATGCTAGTAATAATATAAGTGGCGATTGACATTCCAAAAATTGCTGGGATTGTGCCTGATAAATAAATCACACGCGTTTTAAGTTAAGGTTAGGATAACTAAAAGCATAATAAATATGTGCGCACCTAATACTGGTAAAATCCTTGATCGGAAATCAGGCAATGTAGCATATTCTCCGGCACTTTGGATACGACTTTCGTCTGTGGAAAATGTCATTCAAAAACTGTTGAAACAAAAAAACACGTCTTTACAAGATAAATTCATGTATTAACCAACAATATTAAATTATTAACCTAACGGCAGCAATTTTATATTAGGTTTTTCGGTAGAATATACTACGGTTATCCCCGATTCGACACCCAATTTTTTGAGACGGCGTCGAACAACTCTTGCAAGGGGATCCTCTGTTATTCGATAAGTTTAAAACTTATAATTGTACTTTTTTTTTTTTTTCTTAAAAAAAAAAAACAACGGAATATTTGCATACCGATAGTTTGGCCTATATCGCTCATTTGAACACGTGATGGATCGGCTTTAGCACCAGCTCCCATCGAACTCAAAATCTATGTCATTCTACTTGTTATTAAGGCAATAAAATTTTTGATAATGCCAAAAAAAAAACTTACCGGTAATTTATTATCATGGCAATACTTGAGAAGATCAATTTTTGTATCGATATTGTCGATGGCATCAACAATGTAATCTGGATTTCCTGTAGAGAAAGATTCTATTTTAAACAAATGAATCCTAATAAAATATATCTTTTTGAAATTTCTTACCTGATAAAAGATGAGGCGCACTTTCTTTTCTGAAAAGTTCAATAATTGGCTCAACTTTTACCCATGGTGCAAATTCTTTAAAATTTTTTTGCAATGCAATAACCTTGGGAATACCAACGTCGGAATGTGTTGCTACAGCATGCCGATTTAAACTACTCAATGTAAC